GAAATTTTTACACAACTATAAAAACATTATGGGCTGGGGTTGTAGCTCAGTGGTAGAGCGCTTGCCTAGCATGTGTGAGGCACTGTGTTTGATCCTGAGCACCACATAGAAGTAAATTAAATAAAGATCCATTTTTTCCTAACAAAATTAGAAATTGAGTAGGAATTTTCCATTGCAATGAATTGATGTGGACAGTTTGTACATGAATTTAAAAAGATGTTTATGTTACAAAAGTAAAAAATATACAACCAATTCATAGATAAAATGCATGATTTTAAGATTTAGCTATACCTAATCTGTTTCCTGACTCTAAAATAAAAGGAACTTTGAAACATGGAATTATGAAGGCTGTGAGTTCTCAGGAAATTAAACTTAAATCACTTCTCCTCCTTAGAACTTTTCCCTAGCAAATATATTTTTTAATCATAGCTACGTCCTCAAGTAAAATTCCCCCCAAACAGGAAATATAGTTAACATGAACACTAGATGGTTAAGGATGGGTAATGAGCAATTCTCTCTTACAATTTTTAAATTATGGTAACCTAAAAATATTAATTTAAAATGGCAAATAAAACAATTTTAGAAAACAAACTTCAATTCTCTTGAAAACAAACTTCCATCAAACAGTACTGAGAAGGTATTGGCAGCAATTAAAAAGTTTTGGGGCTTTATTATATAATTTATAAACCCCTATTCATCAACAGAAGATACAGATGACTCAAAGGGTAATATTCCCAAGTAAGACACTGAATATGAAGTAGCAGTTAGCCAAATATGATGTTTTTTGTTTTGTTTTTGTTTTTTTCAGTACTGGGGATTGAATGCTGGGGCACCCTACCACTGAGCTATGTCCCCAGCTCGCTTTACTTTATCTTGAGACAGGGTCCTGCTGAATTGCCAAGGCTGGCCTTGAACTTGGCACTACTCCTGACCCAGCCTCAAAAGTCACTAGGATTTCAGGTGTGCAGCACCACCGCCAGTTCCAAACACAACTTTGATGTCAAAAACTGGGAACTAGTTCATTTTGTTTATACTTTGCCACTAAAACCCGATGTCTATCAAAATATATATATATATAAAGTTGTACTTGGTTGAAAATCACAAAATAGTTAGTAAAAGAAATTTAACATTTCTGTTTCTTCTTGCAGGCCACAGGCCAGATACTACTTGAACCCAATGAATGAACTTCACCCACTCATCTTCTGTGGGATAAGAAGCATAGTTACAGTTTAATTGGCAATGCTTTTTTATTTTTTAGTTACACATCTAGATGGAAATAACCAAATATTAACAGTAGTATATCTTGGTAGATATAAAGATATGAGTGATTTTATTTTAGTCAGAAAGAACAGATTATCTGGTACTCATAATCACACAAATTATTATTTCTTAGTTGCATAAAATAGAGGACAGATTCTACAACATCTTTAAATGTCTATTAAGTATGAAGAATGTAACAAACACATATTTAACTCCCAAATATTTTTTTAAACTTATTCATTTTGCGAATTTTATTGAACATCTTTTTTTTTCTAAGCCTCCATGCCAAAGTCAAATTTTTTGCATTCTGATGATGTTAAAGGGTTCATGTCAGAGCTTCAAAATCGTGAAGTCCAGAACTAAGACTTAAAAACAACAAAAACCTTAGTTCAACAGCACTCATGTCTGTCAGGTACTAATAAAAAATAAAGATTAATTCTGTATTTCGTATTTTTTTTAAGAAACAAGTTCTGTCTACTGGTATGATTTTTCTTACAACCAAACACCAAATCTTTTTGTTGAGATGGCTTGCTATATATGTAGGTAAGTAGGTAGGTAGGTAGATAGATAGATACCGTTCAGTATTATAATACGTAAAGAATTCCAGACTTGGCAGTAAGTTTGACATATTGCCTCAATACTATATATCTTGACAGCAATGAACATTTGTGAGTTTTTGACAGAGTTCTTGAGATTGGTTTCAAACTTTCAACCATAAAAGTAGGGTTTTGATTCAAAATCAAGAAACTACCATAAAAAGTGATTTCTAATTAAGCTCGGAAGAAGCCATGAAAAGTAGAAGAAAAGCTAATTATTCTGTCCAGTGGGAATTTTATTCAGTTATACCAACTGAATCTACTGGAAGGAGGAGAAGAAGGAAAAAGAGATAGCATAGTAGTGGGATGTTGTTCTGGGCACAAAAAGCAGCGTGTAACTGCACATTGGCAACAGCAAGACAAGCTAACAAAGGGGACAGAAGATGTACTTGACAGGAGTATAGAGAATTAGCAGATGAGTAGGAGGAGATGGCATATGTAATGTAGGCTGGGATGCAGTAGGAAAGAGCCTTGGTGGTAAAGATGAATAGTTTAAATTTCATACAAAATACAATAAGGGCCCAGTGAAGCAAGCTGAGAAACCCTAGAGAATGGCTACAGCACAGCATTTCCAGCTGTCTAAAGGGTAGATCTTTAGAGAGGGAGTCTGGAAAAGGGGGACTTTTTAAAATCATGAGAGAAAACATTCAAAATCAGGCCCAAATGTTATTTTTTGTTATTTAAGAAATGAAAAGATCAACAGGCATTTAGAAGTGCCAGAATTGTTTGTTTCTTGGATTTACATTGTTTGAATAAACACAGGGAGGAAAACAACGTGGAAATAATTCAAGTTTAGACACTTGAGAGTCATACGTGACCAAATCTAAAGTAAAGAAAGGTGATAATGAGGGTAAATAAATAGGATCTTACACGCAAATGACAACAGATAAAATTTTCTTGGCAACTTTTCAGTTACTAAAATGTTTTAGAAGAAACAGGAAAAAAATAAAGAGAAAGTAGCAAAATAAGTATGAAAGACAAAAGCTTCAAGCACAGAAAATAGTGAATTATCCAGTAATAGGCATGATTAATTTCTTAAAACAATTTTTCAAACTACAAAATTTATTAAGGTTGTTTTTTATCAAAGTAATTCTAAACTACAAAATTTATTAAGGTTGTTTTTCATCAAAGTAATTCTAGTGTAATTAAATACTAATTCTTATTTTTTCTGACACAGGTTACATTTTACTTTGAAAACAATTAGTAAGAATTCAGCATTGTAAAATAGCTCTCCATAACTTAAACATGTATTTGGTGATGAACTTATGTACTCACTGTGTACTGTACTTTCAACTTTATTCCTTACTCAATATTTGAAAGACTAATAAATATTATTGACCATATGCTGAGGAAAAGCTGACATTCTAGCAAATTCACTACTTTTACCACTAGGGGGAGAAAAAACACAAGCAGTATATGTTATCAAAGCTGGCACGAGGTCCCAGGTACTTTACCTAGATTTTCCACCAGGTGTCAACCAAGAGGAAAAAGGCTATTTCTTCCAAATAAATACCAAACTTCAAATTTTAACCATACCAATCTAAACCAAAAGAGAAATGACTTGCCTACTAGTTACTGTTTGCCTATTTATGTTCTAGATACACTGTTGAATCCAGGATAATGAGTTGTCAACTAAAATTAAATAAAATTTAGTTTATTTTGAAACAAACAGCAGGACCAATGAGTTTAGTTTATTGGGACTCTCAGACTCAACCTATCCAAATATACTATACAGAACAATCTAAAATGCTTAAACATGGACAACTAAAATTTTTCCAAAGTATTTTTGGTCAAATATATAGTGCGAGATTCTTAAGTTTTTCTTCCTAAATTTCTCTTATGATGTGTTATGTTGATTGCCAGTAATCTGAGTTTATGTCCTTATACTCTGAATCCAATACGATGTGAGGAAGGCACTTGCTATTTTTTACCAAAACATTTACAACGAAATGAGAAATGCACCTATCTTTTGTAGAACGAGAATCACTATGTTGAACCATCCGAGGCTCTCCGCTGAAAATGAAGTTTTACAGAACTAAGTCTCATTTATATCCTAAGACATACTTCTTTAAAAAAAACATCCTATGTGCTTCACTAATTTCTAACAAAGACTGTTCGGTGTTGTTATAAACATGTCAGCTAAACCACCATGTCATACTGCCCCTTATAAGGTGGTACATTTTGGGGCCGAACTCTATTCTTACTCCTGTGGGCACAGGAGTTGTAATTGTCATACCCTCCAAATGAAGCCGTAGGTGGCGTCTTAAAAAAGGACTTTTTTCTTCCTTCGAGGAAGTGGGCAAGCCTTTTCTCCAGTGTCATCATGGAAACAAAGTTTTCTTTGTTTTATTTTCTATCTAGAGGATGGAGAAGGCAATTAAGAGAAAAAGCAAAGCCTATTGATTGGATTGTAGTTTCTCTTCTTTTGGAGTATTCTGTTTTAAGGCTTCTTTGGCCTCTGCTGAGTTCATTTCGATCCTGCCTGCAAAGTTCTGTTGTTGTTATTGTTGTTGTTGTTTTTAAGAAAAAGAAAAACCTTAGTCAAGAATGCTCTTGTCTATGAATAATATTTGTCTGGCTTTTATTACGTTTTCTTTTGAAATTCGTTAGCTTAAACTCAGCAACGAGCCGCTTGCCCAACCGGTTTCTCCCCTTCCCCCACCCCTCTTCACACATCACTTTTTCCTCCTCCCATCCAGGCAGCTGGTAAAACCCTGCAGTGCCGGTAACGCACGCTTCTGGCTGGTCACTCAGCAGTTTAGCCTTACTTGGCTGTGCAAACAGTTCCCCACCCAGCCCTAGTCGCTTCCCGGCCGCTCCACCATTATCTTTCTATTAGAGTGTGCTCGGTAAGGGGTTCCAGATAGCATGTCTAGGGTTTACGGTAGCCTGCCTACCAATAGGAGCCCACAATGAAGAGAAGTCAGGTTCTGCCTCCCGGCAGCGCCACTGTCTCCTTCGCCAAGCTCTGCACCTACTGTACCCGCGAGCGAGCGTGCGAGCCAGGGAGCGAGCGAGCCGGCCCGGGTGGGGGCGCGCAGGGAGGGCGGACCGCAGCCGCGGCGTGCGCGTGCGCACTGGGGTTGTTTTTCACAAAGCTGCTCTTAAAGTGAGCTGGCAGGCTCCAGTCGCCCGTCTTTGTAAGGAGACCACTGAGACGAGCAGGAGTGCGGAGCAGCAGCCTCTCTGCTGCCCTGACTTTTTAAGAAATCTCAATGAACTATTTGTGAAGAATCACTGATCCTGCCTGCAAGGTTTTTGCATGGCAAAGACATTGATCAGTGTTAAGTGAAGATCACATTTTATATGCGATCTTGACTTTTTTTTTTGTCTTACATTATATTTTTATAGATTTTGTTATAATCATGGTGCTGGGAAAGGTGAAGAGTTTGACAATAAGCTTTGACTGTCTTAATGACAGCAATGTCCCTGTGTATTCTAGTGGGGATACTGTCTCAGGAAGGGTGAATTTAGAAGTTACTGGAGAAATCAGAGTAAAATCTCTTAAAATTCATGCAAGAGGACATGCGAAAGTACGCTGGACTGAATCTAGAAACGCCGGCTCCAATACTGCCTATACCCAGAATTACACTGAAGAAGTAGAATATTTCAACCATAAAGACATCCTAATTGGGCACGAAAGAGGTAAGTTTTTATGTAAGTCATTAGGCTAATTTTGGGGGGAAAAGTACCTTTTCGGTTTTCTCATTTAATGTGGTTCTTTTAGCATAACAGCAGTTTGATAAAGATTAGCAAAGTTGGAAGATTTTGATTCTCCTTGACGTTCTTCGTGTGTTAAGCTGTAATGCATGCAGGCATCTGCAAAGTGACTGCAAACTGCACTTATTCAACTACCTCTATACCCGGCTTGGTCTGTGCCTCTGCCATACGCACTTGTAATCCATTTGCATCTTACTTAGAAATTCAGCTTAAATCCGGTTCAATAATTTTACTAATATGTTTTCAATTGAATTGCAAAAAGCTGCAGCACAATATTAGATTGTTTTTTCTTTTACTTTACAACCTTAGATCTAAAAACTGATCTTCAGTGAAGAAGTGAAATAACATTTTTAAGAAGGTCAGTGGATGTATTTCATTTCAATATTGACATGCAAAAGACTTTTAAAGACTTGATCATTGTTCTTTGATAAAGGGTTGCCCTGGCTTATTTTGACATATGGTTATCAACACCCCACGTGTTTTTTCCCTATTCTCTCCAATTCCTTCAGAAATTTACACCAAGCATTCTCATTTTAAAGGATAGTATCTGACATTATGGTAGGGATTAGGTCAGTATACGAAGCCATTCAGGGTCAGTAATTTTCTTTTCCAAGCATCATGTCTAACTTCGGAACGTGCATTCAATGAAACCCATGCCAGTTAGATGGAATTGAAAAGTGTACTGCACGTTGGATTTGATTTTTGGTTATAAGAGGGAGATAAAGGGTTGTCAAAGGGAGAAGGGGTCCTGAGATTTCCAATCTATTGTTTAAATGGTTACATTGTGGAAATATAGGAGACTCTAAGCTTGTTTTTCTAAGTTTCCACCCTTTGTTAGAAGCGGTTCAATCCTGTTTCGGACCAGTTCTGGGGGGTGGTGAGGAGGGGCGCTTCTTCTGCTCTCAGCAGATTGGTTACACGCGTCAGGTGGTGGCGATGACTTAATTCCTAGCCCAAGAAGAATATAATGTTAAAACTGGTTATGTAATTTTTGTGCTTCTCTTTTTTAATGCAGCATTTAGTTCAAGTCTTGACGATTTTACAGAAAGGAGAGAGGCATATTTTTACCTTCTTTATTTTATTAAAAATGTATGTCCTGGTAGAGTGCTAAGGCAAGTGAGAAATGAAGGATGCTTACAGCATTAAATGCATCATTGTGAAAATTTAAAGGTGAAATCAGTTTAGAATTTTCATAGTTACAAGGTACTTTGCATCCTGTAATAATTTCAAGTTAATCTCACAAGGATAGCACCAATAGATAATGCAAATGCCTAATGACAGTTCTAGCATTTGTTAAAAAGTGGACACATGAGTTTGTGTTTGAACCTTTCTGGAAATTGCAGCCTTGTATAAAATGGGTGAGAAGAAACAAAAGATTTTTCTTTTAAGGAGTTGAGACTTGCAATGGAAAAAAAAAAGTAGAACAGTGATTTGTAGGGAAAACTTAATTTTACTAATTGCATAATGGTTTCATGGTAAAGAAAACTATCTGCCCCGCACCCCCACGAGATGCCCCCCAACCCCTGCAACGCGTGGACATGATCTTAGCCAGGAATAGTTTCAATGACTTAAAACTGGGAGCTCTCAAACTAGCCTGGTAACTGAGACCCGCCCCGGTCTCCCAGTGATAGGCGGAGTCCGGTTTGTTAGCCTGTTGCTAAGGCGATGCCAGGCGCTGATTGGATTGGGCACAAGCGGGTGGGGAGAGTGGGCTCGCTGTGTCTGGGGCGAGGCTTGGAACCGGCGTGCGCCGGTAAAGGTCCCTCCAGAGCAGCCGCCTCCTCTCGTGTTCGCCTTCGTTCTCGGGCTGCTTTTGGCGCCCGCTGCTCAAGTCATACTGTGTCCTGTTGTCCTTTATGGCAGCTTGCTTGGGACACCCCCCACCCCCCGAAAAAAAAACGATTAACATTTCAGATGCAGAAGCTCCCACCGGCCTTACAGGTGCCAAATGGCCTTGGGCGCAACTTTAGCTAAAAACCCCGTGAAGAGGGACTTGGGTTAGGAAAAAAAGCAAGACCCCATTTTCCTGGGTGAAATGGGTCTATGAATGCTTGTTTTCTCTTCTTAGCGCAAACAAAGCGTATTTGCACACCTGTCCCGTCCCCAAACAGGCTACCCTAATTTGACCTGGGGGGGATGTCAGTGGCTGTCCAGGAGAGGGGAAAGTATTTCAAACATCGAAATCTGTGTAGGGCCTTAGGGGAATATCTCTTGCCCCTTACCCCTTTGTTCCCCTAAACCGTGGCTCCCTCCCCTTCACCACCCAGTTTTCCCTTGCCTTTACTGTAAAGGTGTCAGGGTGGCCCAAGCCAGATCGAACCGGTCACCGGCTGGGGCGTGTAAAGCGGAAGCGCCGCGGCGCAGTCGCCCCGCCCCCTATCCAGCAGGCTAGGCTGCGCGGGCACGGGCGCGAGCGCCGCGCGACGTATGCCGTATGTATAGCGGAGCGCGCGTGCTGCGGAGGCGCGCGGGCGGGCCGGCTGGGATCTGCTCGCGCCGGTTTAGGCCGGTCCTCTCCTGCTCCGGTCTAGTTCTTGATTGACAGCCAGGCACTTGTTTACCACGGCGCGGCCCGCCGTGGCTCGCCTCAATGAGACTGCTGAGCTGGCACAAAAAGGAAGCAAGAAGGGAAGAAAGACAGAGGAAGGCAAACTTTGGGAGCCTTCACGGAGAACGTATCTAAAAGGCCCCCAACTCCCCAGCTAGTTTTCAGTGCTGAGATCTGTTCAGGGGAATTTACCCAGGGAACAAGGGAAATAATCTGTAGACATAAGCGAGTCCCAGTGATTTCGGATGAAAAATCGATGTGTAGGTGCTTTTCCTCCCATTCCTTTGATATAGGGGAAGCATCACATTTTTGTGTCTATTTAGTACTTTGGTGAAGAAAAGTTAAATAATAGTCCAGTTTTTCCTTGCTCTGGTAGCTAATTATAAAGGTTTCTCCATCCAGAAAATAAAGACATTGCGTAATTGTATTACCTAGTTGAGGCTAAAAGTACTGTTTTAATAATTGAAAACCTCTCCCACATTTTTCAGTAATATATTTCTTCATGCCACTTAAGACATAATGCATTTGACCTAAAGAAATTGATTATAAAATGAAAGGTCATTCCTTATTCTAACAACTGGAAAGTACCTAATTATACTTCATTTTTCAAGGATATTGAACAATTTTGTTTCCTTGTTAGAAGGCATCTTTTTAAGTCCTGTCCTTTGTGATGAAATAAAGTATACTTTGTGTACATGAGATTTAAGCTATTGGTAGGAGTAGGACAACATGAGTGTTGAGTATTGTGATCAGTCTAGATCAATATGGAATTATTTTCAGCTATGAAACCAGCATTAAAATCATTTTTTAAAACTCCAACATTTTTGATACTTTTCTAGTGGTTTGGGAGTTGTGACATGTATATTCCTTTCTGTAATGTCAGTAGTATTCCTTCCAACTGACATACTTTAAAATTTTTACATGAACAGTCTTTTTCATTTTATATATTATAGTCTTAATATTTTAAAAACAGTTGGCAACAAAGGTAACTATGATTGAAACTTGAACCTATTGTTTAGCATATGCTGTACTAGACAGGGATGCTTTGCAGTTTGGGTCATTTAAAAAAAAAAAAAAGCCTGTAGGGTACAAGTATTTGTTTATTATCCCCCTCTTAACAGGACAGATGAAAGTTAAGGATTTTTATTTTATCCAGAGAAGTGGAGTGAATTAGAACTCAAGATTCCAAAGCTTATGGCCTTAATTATCTTATGAGCATCTTTAAAGTTATACCACCCTGAGTTGTGTTAAACATTTAATTACAAGCTTTCGTTTTTTGTTTTAGATGATGATAATTCCGAAGAAGGCTTCAATACTATACATTCAGGAAGGCATGAATATGCATTCAGCTTCGAGCTTCCACAGACGTAAGTATTTATAAGTAATAGGCATTTTTTATAGACATTCATTGTCAAAAGCAGTCTTAAAATTAAATATTTTTAAATTATTTTTATTTTTAAAAAAACCCTTTTCATTACAAAAACTGGCTAGAGGAAAACAATATATTAAACATAAGAAGCTATTTTTTTAGTATGTGGCAAAATTATAGAAAGCAAGCAGAATTATTAGTATTCTGTACCAACGTTTATGAGGTTTTTAAAACATGAATAGTATTCCATTTAATGTGAGTGAATGGAAGATACCAATCAAATAGTAAACACTTTATAAATATTTGGTTTAGGGCTGGGGATGTAGAGCACTTGCCCAGAGTGGTTTTTGAGACCCTAGGTTCAGTAAGTTTGGAAGGTAAAAATAAAAAGGAATAGCCTAACTTCAGTAGTGATATTTATATACACATTCGTTAGCTTCCATGCAGAGAGCTGTTAAGAAGGTCACATAAGATATTATGGCCTGCACTTGAAATAGCTATCAGAATACTTTAATATAAAGCTTGGAATCTAGTATACCTTAATAACAAATTATTGAGAAAGATTATTATTTTTTTTTTATTAACACCTTTTAACAGAGCTTAAAACCTGAAAACTGGCACTTGTACTGATTATTCTGGAGGATAAATTTAGATTACATAAGCATTTATCAAGTGCCAGGTGAACTTAATTATTTTCTTAATTCTAGTATTTGAGTTGTTAAATGTAGCATTCATAAATGTTTTTCAGAATATTATATTTTAATACTCTAATTGTAAACCAGTCATTTAACATAAACTCTAGAAGACCAGCATGAAGTGTAAGATTTAGAAGTACTGTATTTTATTGCTCCATTATATAAGTTAATGTGATAGTCTAAAATGTAAGAAAAAAAAATGTGAAATGCATCTACCAGTCAAAGCTAACACTCTATCTTATAAATAATTAAATATTGTGTATTTTTAATAAAACCTGAAAATTGGCAGAGTTCAGAAACAGTTCTTATTTTGATATGAATTTTTTTAAGCCTTAGATAGTAAAGTTAGAAAATAAAGAAGAATTAGAACATATTATATGAAAGCAGTTTTTCAGACTTCTGAGGACTTTATGAAATCTGAAATTTTTGAAACTGTAAGGACTATTCCAGGCATTTTCTTGGACCTTAATGAGTTGCTATAAAAAGAGGTAAAATAATTTCTTGCTAATGAGAAATGGAGCACTATAGGGAATTTGGTCTGAATGTTTAGTGTCTAGAATTGCTCAATAGAAATAGTTAAGCCATTCTTAACTTTATTTTTAAACTCTTGACCTTTGCAAGAATTGTTTATCATATTTTCATAATTTTGCCACTAGCATTAAAAGTAGCCTCTTTTTAGTTTAAAGGGATTGTTATTCTTCTGGCTTTTTAAGGCAGAAATTTCCATGATATTTAGCTATTATCCATTGTTATTTGGAAATAAAAGTTTTTTTCCCCAGTGACTTATCCCTTTGGAAATTTTTTTAAATCATGGATTTTATACCTCATTGGTACATAAACAGTACAATGTATTAACACTTCTATTCTGACCTACTGTATAATTCTTTGAAAGAGGTATAAGATTAATATATTCACTTTATATTCTGCACAGACCACTTGCTACCTCATTCGAAGGCCGACATGGCAGTGTGCGCTATTGGGTGAAAGCCGAATTGCACAGGCCTTGGCTTCTACCAGTAAAATTAAAGAAGGAATTTACAGTCTTTGAGCATATAGATATCAACACTCCTTCATTACTGGTAAGAATTGACTGAATTATTCATTCTTTGTCTTGACATATAAATACTAAATAATAATCACATGAAATACGGAATTTTTATAACTTTAAAATGACTTCATTTTTAAATTTCATACATATGTATATTTTTAAATACAAGAGGATACAAACTTATGAAGAATATGCTCATATTTTTTATACTATAATAACTTAAAGTAAATTTAGAAGTAAGACCAATATGTTGTATGAAATAAATCTGTTCCCTGGATAATTTTTAGTGGAAGAGGAACAGTGATGTCATTAATTATAATATTACATAATTGGAAATATCATAATCTAAAATTTGTACTTATATTGAATTATTCCAATTAGGGATAGTTGTCAAATGCTGGGGAATTATCACTTTCTTGAAAAAACTTAATTCCTGCTTAAAATGAGTCTTTTAATGGCATTTTTATGAGATTAATTCAAATTTGACTTCAAAAACTTTGGTTTTTAGCAAATGATAACATCTTTAAAGCAAACAAGAATTATCCTTAAAAATGGGCAGTTTCCCTTTTTTTGCATATGATTTTTACATTCTCAAAGAAAGATGTTAACATTTGGATTATAACCAAGTTCCTTTCTATGCTGCTTTTCCTTAAGGTAGTTTAAATAAAATTTGGAAAGGGTTTTTTTGTTTGGTTAGATGTTTTAAATTACTGTATATGTAAATAGATGGGCTAAAGCTATGGGATACCATGTTAAGCTTTTTGCCCTTTTTTCATTTAATTTGATAGAAATTTGTTTAAAGACAAAAGTAATGGTATATGCAGAAGGTACATTTGGGTGCATGGAAAAAAAGCAATAACAAAGTGACACTATTAGTTGTTAAATTCTCCAAGAATTAGGATTGTATTTTCAAATATTTTGTTATTTTGCCATTTCATACATTGATCTTTTTCTCAATTTGTTTCTTACAGTCACCCCAAGCAGGCACAAAAGAAAAGACTCTCTGTTGCTGGTTCTGTACCTCAGGCCCAATATCCTTAAGTGCCAAAATTGAAAGGAAGGGCTATACCCCAGGTATGTATGAGCTTGATCCCCACAGAAAGTGATCTTTTTTCACCTAGCTTTTGTGTATAAACTTATAGTATTGGTGTCAAATAGAAACATCACATCAGTATTCTGTAAAATGACAGAAATTGTACTTACCTAGTTTCTTTTCACAAATTAGAAAGTAGTCCCTTTCATACAGCTACTGTAAATGAGTCAGTCATTTTCATGAATTTTAAGTTACTTGCTTACTCCAAGGACAGTTCTTCATCCATGTAGTTAATTAAACCTTCTAACATTGAGTCTACATTATGTTGTTTTTTTTGGTTTTTTTTCCTCTTTCTCTAGGTGAATCAATTCAGATATTTGCTGAGATTGAGAATTGCTCTTCCCGAATGGTGGTGCCAAAGGCAGCCATTTACCAAACACAGGCCTTCTATGCCAAAGGGAAAATGAAGGAAGTGAAACAGCTTGTGGCTAATTTGCGTGGGGAATCCTTATCATCTGGAAAGACAGAGACGTGGAATGGCAAGTTGCTGAAAATTCCACCAGTCTCACCCTCTATACTCGATTGTAGTATAATTCGTGTGGAATATTCACTAATGGTATGTCTAGATTTTAAGAGGAGGGCTTTTTTAAAAAGTTGTAAAGTTATGTAGAAATAATTTTATCTTAGATCTAGAATTTGATTTGATTTTTTGTGTGCAGTATTGGGTGTTGAACCCAGAGGCAATCTACCATTGAGCTGTATCCATACCAGCCTTTTTTTTTTATTTTTTAAAACAAGGTCTAACTAAGTTGCTCTGGTTAGCCTCAAACTTGTAATCCCTCTGCCTCAAACAGATAGGGATATAGGCATGCACCACCACTACTGGCCTAGGATTTGGTTTTTATATTTCATACATACAAATACGTAGAAAAACTGAAAAGGGAGAGGGAACCTCAATTAATATTAAAACTGGGTTATTTGTGAAATCACATTTGTTATTCTAAACTTAATATCTCTTTTCAATATTTAGGTATACGTGGATATTCCTGGAGCTATGGATTTATTTCTTAATTTGCCACTTGTCATCGGTACCATTCCTCTGCATCCATTTGGCAGCAGAACCTCAAGTGTAAGCAGTCAGTGTAGCATGAATATGAACTGGCTTGGTTTATCTCTTCCTGAAAGACCTGAAGGTAATAATGCCTATCTAAATTTAACCCATTAGTAGTAGTAGTGTGTAGTAGTAATAGTAGTAAGAACTTTATTTTGCTTTTGATATTATATGATCCTAGATAAATCTTAATCTTTCTTTAAAGAGTAGATGTATGTACCCCTAATGTTAAATTTAAATTGATGTCTCCCTAGCTTTAATTACCAAATAATTATTATTTTGCTTTGACATTCTTTTTTAATACCTACTATTCTGTGTATTTTGACATGCATAAGAACATGCTGTTCGAATTGCGTGTATCTTTTTCCTTCAGCACCACCCAGTTATGCAGAAGTGGTAACAGAGGAACAAAGGCGGAACAATCTTGCACCTATGAGTGCTTGTGATGATTTTGAGAGAGCGCTTCAAGGACCACTGTTTGCATATATCCAGGAGTTTCGGTTCTTGCCTCCACCTCTTTATTCAGAGGTAAGAGCACCAACTTGAGTATGAAATGGGCTGGATTTAGTATTGCAGAGTTTAAAAAATAGGTTTTGATTATCATGATAATCAAAGAACAAATAATTTAGAACAGGAGATTTAAAGTTATTAGGGTTGTTGAATTTACTAAGTTTGACACAGAAATAATTATGACTATTCACTTTTTATTTGGAAAAATAAGATAATGATCTTAGCGTCATTGAATTCATTTTGTGTTTTGGGGGTAATTTTATATTTCAAGCATCAATAGAAAAAGTGGCATTTTACAAGCATTAATTAAATATGAGAATTTATCTTACTCCTCCTATTCCTACAATTTAATTCTTGTATATTTTGACATTTGTTATAGGGTAAAGTAGTATATTTCAAAATACTTAAACAGAATTCCTACACTGGTATACTATTTTTATCTACCACATCTTGATGGCAGTTAAGCAGTGAACATGAATAAGCTTTGTGCTTAATGGGAATAAGTTCATAGAATAGTGAGAAAAATAAACTTGGAAACAGATATTATATTAGCAGTGTTAGGAATAAACAACTCAGGAGCAGCTTATTGGGCCTTGGGAATTAGGAAGGCTTCTTAGAGAAAAGTTACTGTTAGGCTGTTTCTTGAGGGTGAGTGGTGCCCAAAAGGTGGGAGAGTCCAGTTACACAGGAAGAACAGTGGATAAAGGGAAGGATGTGAGGAACAAATCCAATTTTAGGATTTTTCAAAATGACTGGAAAATGTGCCTATGGTCCACATTTTTAGTACCTGTAAGATTGGTCTAGATATCCAAAATAATGTTGTAAATCACAAGACTTAGCTTGTTCTTTTGGTTACTGGAGTTCACACCATTGTTTTATAATGAAATATTATATAATGTTTTATACTCTTACATGAATTGTTTTTACTCTTAGTACTCTTTTTTTTTTTTTTTTCCTGAGTGCCTTAATTGAAAGTCATTTTCCTTTGGGTGTGATAAGTGATCCTCTTCATTCACTGATAATAGGATATTCAGAATCTGGTCTTCAAACTTTTTAATTGGATGTATTTTTTTCCTATCCTATTATTTTAGTGCATTAGAATTTCTTTAGATGTTAAAAATGTTCTGCCATGTGTTCAGATCGTGGTAATACACTTTCATTCTGACATTTCAGTCTTGCTAGGCAAGTCAGTCATTTGTGGCTTGATTTGAGGATTCCTGGCTATCCGGGGGAACATTTTAGAAGAATGACAATCTAAATATAATTCGCTTGTAACTAATTCTTCATAAAATTCTGCCTCCTTTTTTTAGAATGAACTTAAGATAGCTCATCAAATAACAGTAAATGTTTCCCATTGTTTTCTAGATTGATCCAAATCCTGATCAGACTTCAGATGATAGACCATCCTGCCCCTCTCGTTGAAGGAACACTTGGTTAAATCAAGTTGATGTGGGTTCCGAACTGTATCTCTTCCGGCTGAGGACAGAGAAGTATCTTGGAGACACGTTTTCAGAGGAAGTGGAATTGCTTTTGCCCAGAAAAATGGCATGAAATACATGAAACAACGAGTGATCATGCTTCAGAAGCCTACAGCAACATTCTGGGACTGCTCCAATATGCTTGAAGATCTAAGCTTTTCTTCTTTAAAACTGGCACATACTAAGAGCAGTCATCTTTAGCCTATGGTCATACGTGTCAAGACACCATGTTGTAAAGAGGGATGATTTCCTTCTTTTGATTTGAAAATTTGCACATGCTCAATGCTTACATTGTGCAGTTCAATGTCACTACAGCTTTTTTTTTTTTCCATTTAAGCCAGACTCTTGATACTCTTTTAAAACTTGTTGTGGTCTACACAACAAGGAACAAAAGAAAGCTTTGAAAAAACTGTAACATGAAAAAACGCACTGACATTTTTTTTTTTTATTTAATATAGCCTGGACTTTACCTGCGTATGCACATGCTCAGAATTGTCCTACTAGGCTGACCATGTATCACCTCTTCAGCTTGGATCCTATTGTGGATTTATTTACAAACATCAAATGCCTTCAAGCCAATCCTTTTTGCTGTACGTTTTGCAGCCTACTGTAGTAGATACGCAACAGATATGTGGGGAAAAAGAGATAAGAGGAGGAAGCTAATAAGAGACCTGTCAAGATTGTAGAACTTCTTGATTTCTTTTGAGAATTTGTTGCCTTTCTACTATTACAGCAAAGCAGCATTTTGTTACTGACTGCCTAAAATCACTTAATCTCAGGTGAACGCATCACTTGCCAAACTGTTGGAATGCTATTTGTGTTTTGTTGCACTGTTGAGTTTTTTTTGTTGTTGTTGTTTATTTGGTTGGCTTTTTGGAGAGGGAAATTTGGAAACGGGACATACACAAAAGTGATAACCCACCCACATCCCCTTTTTGTCATTACATACAAGAAGAAACTAGCAGAGTTAAGAATGGAGTATAGAAAGGCAGTATGGCAGGCACCAGCAAAGAGTTAAGGGCTGTTGCTCTTAAAAATTAGTATTTTTATTATTATTTTTAAAATAATGGAAATTTTCCAGTCACTGGGGAGAGGAGGGAAAAGTACATTTATTTTTATACAGAGTTACTTAATTACCTCCAAAACACATATGTTGGAAATCATTTTTGCCAATGCAAAGTATTTTAATGAGGGAATATATATGTGTGTGTGTATATCTCACACACACACACATATATATATATATACATGATTAGAGTTCAATTTATACATTTGCTATCCTGGTCAAGTTGACAGTATAAAAACCCAAGTTTATTCTAAAAGTGTATAATTTCACAATTAAAAACACTAGAATGTTTGCTGGGATGATTTTTTTTCCATTGTCTAAAAACAATTTGCTAAATATGAAAAATTATTCTGATGAGTATATAGAGAGAAAAGAGCAATCACATCAGTAAATCCTAGGTTTTTTTAAGTAATTTACAGTTGGATCATAACATATACCAGCATTCATGATAACATTTAAAACCGTAATCTGAGGTACTAAGTGTACTGAATTTTTTTTTTAAGAAGGAATTCAGCTGTGATATTTTTAATGAAAATCAGCATCTCATATTGCTACATACGTGTGAAATGGGTATATATATCTTACCATTTAACCCCACAATTAATAAAGTGGCTGAAAATAATAGTAACTCTGGCTTGGTGCTTGGTTAAATACTGTCTTAAAGCTTCATACAAAACAAATAGGCTTTTCCATAAGTGGCCTTTAAGAAAACATGGAAGACAATTCATGTTTGAAATAATGCTGACAGGGTGAAGAAAGCCCAGTGTAAAAATGAATCGCGTTTTAAGTGATTCGGTTAAAGGGTTTGGGCTCCCGTAGCAAACAAATACTAGATAATAAGGAAATGGGGGTGAAATATTTTTTTACTGTTGTTAAATCATTTTGTGAATGTCCCCCTCAAAAGAAGCTAGTGGAATATTTGGCATAAAGGGCATTTGGTGGTTTTCTTTTTGTTTGGGGGGAGGGGGTTGTCAGAAAATCCCTTTTGTTTTCTCTCTTCTTATGTCTAACTGACTAGGGAACAATTGTTGATATGCATAGCATTGGAATACTTATTACCACGTACTCTCACAAGTAACACAAGAAGCAAGAATGACCAATATTGTGATAATTGGCACAGGATCACAAGATGTGATAAAATTTTAAGTTTATAAAGCTTTATCAAATAAAGTTTTATTTTTCCCATTAAAGTTTTTGTCTCCCTGTCATTCAGAGGCATTACTTTTTTTTTCTCCTAAATATTGGTCAATTCCTAATTTAAGATGTGAGGTTCACAGTTGTATTCCAGTATTCAAGATAGATTCCTGATTTTTCAATTGGGAAAAGTAAAATCCAAAATGTTAGCAAAACAAAGTGCAATATTAAATGTTTGCTTTATAGATTATATTCTATGGCTGTTTGTAATTCTCTTTTTTCTTTTTTTATTTGGTGCTGAATATGTCCTTGTAGGCTCTGTTTTAAGAAAACTATGTGGGAAATGATTTAATTTTTCCTATTGCTCTTCCTTGTGGAAAATAAAAGTGTTTTTTTTTTCTTTTTTGTATAATTGTTTGGAGATTTATTTTGACTCTTGATCATATTAGTAACACTATACATGCAAACACTATTAATATCAGCTATTCTAAGAATTATTTCTATATCTGAGCTAAAGAAAATTAGAACTGAAAGGAATTTTTATACTAATCATTGTTTTACTTATAACACTATAGAAGCTTTTTATAAAATGTGTAAGATGTATGCACATAGTTTTCATTCTTAAATAAGAACCAAATCTAACCAGGAGATTTTATTTTCAGATATTAATTTTCTCCCACTATGATGCTTGTCAGTCACTGTTTCAAAAGCAATCTGTTGAAAAAAAATCAATTTTTCTAAATTTTTAAAATAGTAATGAATTTCATGGAGATTGCTAACTTGAAGTTTTGGGAAACAGATATTGTCTGAAGTGTTTTACATGCATTCACGAATTATGAAGTTGTTTATGTAACTTGCTGTGGGATTCTCCCAATACTTCCAAATGTATTTTCATAGAAAGTATATTACAAATAGACATTTACACATACATTTTGTATTTATTTATAATCAATTTTTCAGAGGTGCTATCAGCCTTGTTCACTCAACTAAATGATATACACAGGTATTAGTATAATAAGGAATAAAAGTGACAGGAAAAGTGACTACAGGATGAGAAAGGGAAATCTAGGTTCTGCGTTCAGTAACTAGATGGGGCATTGACAAAGATGTACAAGTTGACTTCTTATCTGTAAAATGGAAAAGTAGCTATCCAGGATCTTTTTCTTCCTGAAGGTGTTTGCACATTTTTTTTTTTAACACAATACCTTTATTTTATTTATTTTTATGTAGTGCTGAGCATCAAACCCAGTACCTAGAACATGCTAAGTGAGCACTCTACTGCTGAGCCACAACTCCAGCCCCAGTTTGTACATCTTATAGTATTTACTTTTTTAAAATATTAATTTATAAGGAAATAATACTCCACATCATTGTAACATTTGGAAATTCACCACTTAGCTTCTAAGTTAGCATTGCAACATAATGGCATCTGTGAGTTATCTCGTCTTTGTTTTATATTAACTATACTTATCAAACCACTTGTCATAATTTATTAAGTGGCTGAACTTAGTATATTAATGACAATTTATGTTGTAGGAGGAAGAAATTTAGACTAGCTTCAATAAGATAATGTATAAACTAATAATTTCAGGGATGACATATTAAACACATCTGGATCCAGGAATCCATATAGGGCCCTGGGGACATACTCTCGTCTTTCATCTATGTTAAGATTAACTTTTTAGTGTTGACCCCTTATTCATATCCGCTTTTATGTTAAATGACCAGAAAAAGGGACCCCAGTTCTTATAGCCCACAGACAAATACCATCTGGAATCCCTAAAATCCCCAAATTGTGGAGATCCTGATTTGTTGATACCTGTTCATGTTTCATACCATATAGAATGGATTTCCCAATTTACTTCTATTTCCAAAAAGAACAGTGGTCAATACTTTCTTCCTATATCCAGTAGTGTTTAAACCAGGAACAACATCCCCTGAAAACTCCTTAGGAAAGCAGAATATCAAGGTCTACCCCAGAATATTGACCAAAATCTCCCTACTCAAATGATTCCAAGAATCATTTTACATACTTCAGGTAGAATTTCATAATCCTTGAGATAGTGGACAATTATAATTTTGAAATTCCTATGTCAACAAACAGCATTTTCTAAAACTTGCATGACAGTAATGCAGTATTTTGCCTTTCCTTCTACCTGATTTTCAAATCAATACAGAGAGGAGAAAAATGTTTCAACTCGTGAAAATTTTTATTTATAAAAGAAAATTTATTTTTATTTTTGAGAAATGTAATCTGCACTCTTTTACCAAAAAAAAGTTAGAAAAATAATGATATGAACAGCAACTTCAAATTTAAGATAATTTATGGTTTGAAAATTCAAAAGCATGCCTACCTGGGAATGTACACAGCATCATTATTGGTCAGCACAAAGCTAAACATAAAGGGAAATGTTAAAACGTTTTCAAACCTATTTTATAGACAAACTTATACAAGTGATGTCAAGTTAGTCATACAGAGCAAAAAACAACCACCACCAATTAGATTGTTTAGGAGTAGTATCTAGCATTTACATGTTTTTAAGATATGTGTTACATCCACATCCACATATACATACATTCTTTTTTATATAATAATATATATATCCTTACTTTTTAACATATACATATAATGTGATCTATATATATCCTACTATGATTCAAGATTAAATATGATATTCGTATTAAGATTTCTGGTATAGCATGGCTAATTCTAGAAACAGATTTATTCTACTTCTAAATGCAAGGTTTTTTATAACCAATTTCTTATCCAAACAGAATGATTGTTACTTCCGTCAATGGTAGGTCTCTGGGAACATTAATAAAGTTAAGATAATCAAAACATCATTTTATATAGTTTAGAGGTCTATTTACTAGTTACACAAAACAGTCTCAGCAGTGAACTGAAGAATGTGAGAGATCCAAATATACTGTCTTAATTTTTTTAAATAGTATGTACTTTTCTTAAATATTAATTTTATTTATTTATATGTGGTGCTGAGAATTGAACCCAGTACCTCACACATGCTAGGCAAATGCTCTGCCACTGAGCCAAAACCCCAGCCCAGTGTCTTAATTTTTAACTTTATAAAATGTTTATTTTACCAACTCGTAGATCTAGTGATGATACGACTACTAAGAGTCAAAGGTTTACACTGTGATTATTTTAGAAGATGTGATGTTTTTGCCAAAATAAGTCTGATCCTTACAGAATATAGGAATTTAGCTGGGTGCTACGCGCACACCTATAATCCCAGCTACTCAGGACACTAATGCAAGAGGATTGCAAGTTCAAAGCCTGCCTGGGCAATTTAGCAAGACCCTGTTGCAAAATTTAATAAAAGGGCTGTGAGGTGGTATTCGTTAATGGTTAGACCACCTCTGAGTTCAATCCTGGTGCCCAAAATGAAAATATTTATATATTTATAGATAGATAGATACACACACACACACACACACACACGTGTTAACATGTATATGTGTGTGTAGTATATATATTTATATTTGTGGTAATGTAAATACATATATATAATGTAAGTACATATATATGTGTATGTGAATTTGTACTTAACAGATAATTTTTATCAAATGAATTAACTGAAATAATGATAGAAATTCAAATTGACAGAATAAACAGCCAGTTTCTAGCTTATTCTATTAAGGAAATCCACATTTTCACCTCCTTAATGCAAAGCACACTTTTGTAATCTAGACAGCTGGACAACTCAAAATCCCAAAAAGTAGTATTCAATATGTTTAGAATAATAACAGGAAGCTATGATACAGCACATGCATCATGCAAACTGTATGCTCGTTGCCAACAAGAGCATACACAGAACTGAAAAGAACAAAAGCACATTTTTTTCTTCTCCAGTTTGTTAATTCCAAAATTACAGGGACAGAGGAGAAAATGTTCCCCTCCCTCTGGCCTCCCCCCAATCTGGAGAGCCAACTCTAGAAAATCTTTGTGAGGAGCTGCCACAGGAATACATGCTATATAGAGAAGCATTGGTCAAATGCCTCAGGCTGTTGAGCTTTTACATCTGGAGCCGACTTCCTTGTTTCAGCAGACTGAACAAGAAAATTCCTTATAAAGTCTCTTCTTACAGTGCCCCCAGGTTAATTTCCTACTTACAAAGACTGCTGAAACAAAGCACCACAAAGGAGCTGGTTTAAAACAATAGAAATGTATTCATATCACAGTTCTGGAGACCAGAGTTCCAAAATCAAGATGTTGGTAAGGACATTTATCTTTCTGAAACATGAAGAGAAAATCTTTCCTTGCCTCTTCCAGCTTCTGGTAGTAATGGAAATCTGGCATTCCTTGGCTTGAAGTTGCAAAATTCCAGTCTCTGCCTCTATTGTCTCATGGCCATCTTTTCCCTGTGTGTCTCTGTCTCTCCATATGACATTCTGTTGTGTCTCTTCTTGAAAGGACACCAGTACATTGGATGAAGGGTCACCCTACTCCAGTATGACCTCATATGAAGCAATTACATATTCAGTGAACATTTATTTCCAAATAAGGTCACATTTCCAAATAAGATCCCATTCTGAGATATTTGGGTGTTAAATATATAATATATGTATAGTATATATATATATATATATATATATATATATAGTATATATATATTATATATAATATATAGTCATATGTCATATAAAATATATATTATATATATAATTTATATTTTTATATGATATTTACATGTATTTATATTTATATATAAATTATATATTATAAATTATATTATAAATAAAATTATAAAAATATACAAGTTATATATTATAAATTATATATAATTTATATAATATATATTGTAATATATGACAGAGAAATTTTTTTTGTTTTTGTTTTTGATGTTTAGAGGTACTGGGAATTAAACCCAGGGCTATTCTACCACTGAACCACATCCACAATCCTTAAAATTATTTTCAGTTTTGAGACAGGGTCTTGCTAAATTACCCAGACTAAGCTCAAATTTGCGATCCTCCTGCTTCAGCCTCTCAAGTAAATTGGATTACAGGCATATATCACCACACCTGGCTCTAACATATCTTTTTGAAAACACAATTTAACCCAAACAATCCCCTTCCCTCCAAAACACATATGGCAACTGTGTCACATCCATAAGGAAAAGCTGCCTATTTAGAATACATACAGTTAGCTATTTCTCAATAATATAGGGCAAATTTAGTGCTAAACTGTAAAATCAGTATAGGTGAAAGGAATCCCCCACCACCATTACCTATTTTTTTTTTTTAATTGGCCTGATGCAGGTACTGTGGTGGGTAAGCACACAAAATGTGAGATGAGAAAACTAAGTTCTGGTCCAAATACACTAATTTGCTCAATGAACTTAACCAAGTCATTTATGTTCTCTGGGGCCCCATTTCCTATTTCCTTACTAT